AAACTGCTGTTATTGCAGGGAATCAGAAAACCCTACATTTTTTTCCATTACACAATAATGAACCCCTTGGTGTTGATCTACCACACAGAATCCCAATACTTTTATATAATAATTGTGAATTAAAGGAAGGAGCATGAATTTTCAGGGCCTATAACCTGGAAGCTTGACTATAATAAGGAGCAGACACTGCATGTCTCTGGTATGCACTTTTACATGGAGACTAATAATTAATGCCACGTCATTGTTTTCATAATGATGCTAATAACAACAACACTATTAATAATAACCTGGGTTTAAGTTTAAGAACAGTAAACTATATGATCTTTTTTAAACATAGATCTAAGCAGAGTTTGCCAATAAAGTTAGATTTTTTTTCACCTTCTGCAGGAGGAAACTGAACCCCAGTCAGCACCAGAACCAACAGCATGATTCTCCACTTCAACATCGTGTACACCTGTGAAATGACACACAATATAACCCTCTAGGGATTTACTATAAATCTGAATATGCGTAATTTTTAGTGGTGGGCATAGATTACTTTCTTTAATCTTGATTCATTTTACTGTAATCTTGGAATTAATATTGGAATTAATCTCTATAATTAGTTTAAACACTATATCTCCAGGTTTCTGATGTAATAAGCAAAGTAATATAGGCTATATATGTTTTTCTTAACAATTACTCACTTACATTTTGTAGTATATTTGTCCTTTCTTTATAATAAGACAAAACATGTTATTAAACACTTCTATTCATGTCCCAAATGGACCAAAAGTGAAACATTAATAGTCATTTCCCCATCTTGTCATTACCCAGCAGCACTTTGTGGCTACTCCACCTTCATAGCACACTGCTGTGACTGCTGGAAAAAGGGGAAATAAGAGTTTAGACTGACTGACACAAAGATACTGACTGTAAACAGTTCATCATGACCTATTATGTAGGCCTATAGTTCAGAAGTATTTTTGCCAAAACAATAAATCAGAATTCCTTTATCAATCCCTTGTGGGAAATTTTGTTCTTGCAGTGCAACCATTTACAGAAGAGAAAAAAAATAAATTGTAAGTAAAAATAAGATATAAGAATAAAATAAGATAAGGATGATATGCGTGTGCTCCCTAAATAATAAGTAAAAGTAAGTCTTTGATCAGATTTCTCAAGCCAGGTGGTGCATTAGACCTGGGATTCATCTTCTGTTTCAAAAATGCATCACAAAGTTCTTGAGAAAGCTTTCCTGCTATGATAACTGCTGATGAAAATAAATAATATCCAATAAGATCTATTTGAGTTTAATAACTGTTCAGTCAGATAAACATGAATTCTGAATTATAGGCCTACATAATAGTTATTTCCCTTATTTCCCCTTTTTCCACCAATCACTCAGGCAGTCATTGCTGTGTCCTGAAGTTGGAGTAGCCGCAAGGGCTGCTGGGTAATGACAAGATGGGGAAATGACTTTTGTTTCACTTTTGGTCCATTTCGAACATTAGTAGAAGTGCCTAATAACATGTTTTATCTTATTGTAAAGAAAGGAAAAATATATTGGAAAACGTTCAGATAAAACGTCAGTGAGGAAGTGTTAAACAGAATATACAGGTGCTGGTCATAAAATTAGAATATCA